TAAAGATGTCTGGCCTTAACTGGATTGTAGCCTGTTGTCTTCTTTATGGGTAATTTATTTGCGAAAATTAAATGGTGAAGGCTCTGTGTCTCATAATGTATTTATGGGGGTTAAATCCATTGTTCCCTTCTGCAGTCGATCAAAATTTAGGCTGGCTTGAACTGCTAAGCTGAACTGTATATCTGAAGATTGCAGCTGACAATAAGAGTGCCAATACAATCAACATTACAGAAGTGCAAACAATCGCTCTCTAAGTTAATGGATCATTTAAAGGCAAATAAGATTTGAGGCTCCTCCAGGAAATTTTGAGTTGAATAAAAAGGAGAAAACTGCTCATGTGGTTTGGTGGGCAGGATGAAAGAGTTTATTTAAATAGTGTTGTGAATATTTACATGAGAGTAACTCTTTCATTGTTGTTCTTTGCCAAATATGATGAATCCTTCAATGCTGTGTAACTAACTAACTGTTATTATAAGACTGTATTACTATAGTTGTTGTTACTGTTAATGTCATTAATCCTTAATAAAATGGGTAAAGCCTATTGCTTCCACATTCTGAGTTCTGTCCCGATTATCACATTTAATTCAACATACAGATAGGTTAATCTTTGGTATGTAAGCTTGCTCCTGCATTCTGATTTTTTGCACCAGGGCAAATATGTAGTTCAGGTGGTGTTACCAGATGTCTAGCAAAAGGAGGATATATCCTCCTTTTTGTCCTCAGGTCCTCTGTCCAGCAGGCATAGCCTTAAAGGCAAAAATTGTCTGGCTTTTTGAGTGTCTTCTATGTGTATGTGGGGTGAGATGGGATGGGGTTGGACTATTTTCACAACAGCAGTCATACAAGCTTTCATGTCTTGTAAATTGTCTGCTTCTTTTTTTCCCTTGTCCATCAATAGACTCGACAGCCTATATTTACATTTTTTAACTTATTTCCTGATTCCAGCAATCAGCTTTAATCCAGTCCCTTCAAATCTATGATCACTGTAGTCTGTAGATCACATGACTTGCCATATTTTTCTATGGTGAAATTTGAAAAACACATTGTTGTCAGTTCTACATTGTGGGTAGCACATATTCTTGAAAACAAAGATTTGTTGGAAAAAATATTGCAATTGAAAAACCAGTCTTTCTGATGCTGGAAAACGTAATGTCATATGCATGTAGGCCTAAGTACTTTGTTTGTTTGTTTTTGCAGTTTTCTGCTGTACTTTTTGTTGCTGATGCCAAGTAAATTAAATAGTTAGTGTGTCCTCCTTTTGCCCCCATTTGTCCTCCTTTCCTATTATCCAAGTCCTCCTTTGCCTGTTCAGATATCTTGTAACCCTAAGTTGAAGCTTCTGCCAAAATCAAAATGTGAAAATAACCTGTAAATTGTCGAACTGGGGATATTTAGATCCATAAAAATGGTGGAAAAGGAAGCACGGAAGCTGACTTTCCTGTCCACTAGTGGTTTCCCCAAACACTTTCCAAGTGGACAGGAGATACATCTGAAAATAGAGTACAAAGTGGAGGGCAGCACTTTGCATGAGTGACTTCTCTCTTGTTCTTCTTGTTCTCTCACAGACAGCCTCTGCTTTTGGAGGGATTTAACCAAATGGGATGGGAATTAGGGAATTTGAAGCCCTATACATCTGGAGGGTAGTAGATTGGGAAAGGCTGAGGCAAATGGTAAATATCCCCTCAGTAATTTTAGATACTTTGTTTATGGCAGGGGTGCAGACTCTATTCAATTCAGTACAGGTCAAAACATATGTGTTGCACTGAATCAAAGAAGAGTTACAGGTTCCATGAAGTCACTTTCTACACTGCACTAGGAGAGAGAAAGAGATCATAATTGAGTTCATCCATTGCACTAAGCCATTTGATCAATTTTGGCTTAACGTGATGTGTGAATTCAGTCACTGTGTTTTGTAATCATGGCTTATGGCTTAATATATATTAGCCCAGATAACTGTGACTGAACAAAACAATCATGGTTAATCAAACCATAGCAAAGTGTGCTCTCTGAACTGCCCCTGTCTGATATGCAGCTGAAATATGTGAGCTTATAGGCAGCCAATTTGTCTGTGGGAAAATGGGGCATCAGCATGTCAAGTAACTTCATTAACCACGTCAAAAATTCCTTGGGAAGATCTACTCACGTTGAAGTAGCAATAACAAGTCATACAAGACTTAGCCTTTCAATGGAACAGATGCCTTATTTTATAATCATTCAATCATTTGAGATTTGCTTACACATAAACATGTGGAAATAGAAAGCACATCTATGCTAGCGAAGCATGACATATACTTGGTTGCACTACCATTAAAAGTCAGCCTAACGTTTGGCACTAATGTGCAAGAATGCCTAAACAATTGCTACTAATGCTAGAGGAAGGTGAATTGTTCCAGACAAATAGCAGATTATAAAATGTTCTCTACAACTACCTCTGTCAGATCTGGAGGTTTATACTCACTCTGTTGTACCTTGAAACACGGAACATGGTAACCAGAATGTTTTGTCAGGCAAGAAGGCACAAGAACAGAGTATTAGAAAAAGGAGAAAGGTCTAAAAATGTTAGGGTTGTAGACAAATATGTAGAATTATAGCTATTATAGTGCTATTTTAGTGCAATTCAGCATGCGCCACAGATAAACACTTTGACTTAAAAAAAAACCCCACAAATTTAATGACTCAGTTTAAGGAGTCATCCAATAATTACTGCTAATCCCTTAGATAACCCAGGCTTTATGAATGTGCATGTTCTGCAAGTAAGATTTCCATTTACACTGTTTTTTCCTCAAGGCTAGCATGAGAACTTTTTTTTGCTTGAGACAAAGAACAAGGTGCACTTGACGTCTGTTTGTGTTGACTGTGGATTCTTACCTTCAAACTGGGAGTCATCCACCATCTCTGAGGCCTCGGAGCCATGTGCATTCCCAAACTTCTTTTTTGGGAATCCTGGAATCCCACTGGTTATAGGTGCCCAAAGTGGGCAACATAAGTGTTTGCCCCTTGGTGGTGGGAAGCACACAAAACTCTATACACACCATCATTTTTAACATTATTTTAAATAGATACAGCAAGCATGCAGAGCTTGGATCCTGGAATATTTTCCAACCTGGCAGTGGCCAAAGGAAGCAAATGTATGTTCTTCTGTGTAATGAAATAACATGTTGCATGAGTGTGTAAGTTTCTGCTTTCCTCTTGTGTTTGGCCTGATTGTAGTTGTGCATGTGAGTGTGTGTGTGCTCACACTGGGAAACATGGGGCAAGCTAAGTATTCTCTGCTCAGGCTAATGTGATCAGAAGGAAGATTTAAAGTGGACCAACTGGCAGCATTCTGGGTTGCTATCTGAGAGCCTTTCCTGTAAGGACGCACTGAGAGAATTTGGAGACCATTTTTTGCTCCACATTCCCTGGTCAGAACTAAAAAAAAAAAAATGGGGGGAGGGCTGGCTTCCCTATCCCCCTAAATTTGGTCCAGTTCTGTTATCTTCAGAGAGTTATCCTGTTGACAGCCAGAGTCTTGATCCCCCTTACATAATTTCTATCTAGTCCTCTGTTGGGTTGGAAAGAATTAAAGAATCTACATCAGTAAGGGAACAATACAAAATCCCTCCCATTTATTACATTAGGTTATATATACTTCCTCATACAACTATTCAGAGTGGTTAGCAAAGAACTAAGCAACTTGATGAAATCCAAAAACTAATTTCAAAACTGAAAGATGGCAAAGCCTCAGATAAAGATATGATTTTGCCAGAATTACTCAAAATAAATCCTGATGGGTGGGCCTCTGTGTTAGCCCCCTTATTTACTCCCATTAATCACTCTTTTTTGCTCCCCAGAGAGTGGCTTAATTCTATCACTCTCTCAATATACAGATGGCAAAATCCAGCTATCTGTTGCCCAATTAGCTTAGTGTCAGTAATTAGCAAACTCTGTGCCTGATTTTTATACCATAAACTTTTAGATTGGATGCACTCAGGGAGTATCTTAGCTCCTGAACAAGCAGGTTTTAGATCAGGATATTCCATAATAGATCTATGTGAAATTTCCCATCATTTGGCTGAAAAATACTCTAGCCCTACCCATGGCACCCTTTACACTGCTTTTATTGACTTAAGGACAGTCTTTGACTCAATTCCTCATGAAAGATTATGGAGGAAATGAGTCACAACATCCATTGATTGTTACCTTCTCAGGTTGATAATTTTGTGATATCAAAATTCTACAATGCGGATTACAGGCAACTGTAATGGTGATTTAACTATCCCTATCCCTATCTTCAGAGGAACCTTGCACCTTTATTGTTCAACTTCTATATGAATGAATTGTGGCCCTTTCTAAACCAGAATTTCACTCTCTCTTGCCCACTGTCCTATTTCAATTCTTTTGTATCCAAAAGACATCCGTTTTATCTGTAACCAAGTGGGTCTTTGTAGATGCTTAGCTGCTTTAGCATCCTACTGTTCTAAGCAATTTCTTGAAGTCAATCACACAAAAACCAAGGCTCTAGTTTTCTTTAGAAAGTGCTTTAAGTCCCCTGTTAAATGGGAAATTAACAAAAGACCAAATGATGAGGTTAAAGATTTCAAGTGCCTAGACTTCTATTTCCAACCCTTCACCCTCTTGAATGGAGTTTCTCAACCTTGGCAATTTGAAGATGTATAGACTTCAACTCCCAGAATTCCCCAGCCAGCCCATCTTCAAGCTGCCCAGGTTGAGAAACACTGCTCTGGAATGACCAACTGAGTGAGCTTTCTATTAGAGCTCAAAAATTTCTAACACAATTGTAAAATGTGCTAGTTATCAAGACAATAATTATGTTCCTGCAGCAATAAAACAGTATAAAGCAAAGGTTCTGAGCTTGCTGTTATATGGTGCACAACTTTGTGTTTATAAGGATGCTCCTGCTGTTCAAACTAGGTTTATGAAAGTCATCCTTTGTGTTCTGTGCTTATGCCCTTGTTTAGCTAGG